CCAAATCTTAGCTCTCAGTGCACGTTTCTTTTCTTTTCTTTTTTTTTTTTAATATATTTTATTGATTTTTTACAGAGAGGAAGGGAGAGGGATAGAGAGAAACATCGATGAGAGAGAAACATCGATCAGCCACCTCCTGCACATCTCCCACTGGGGATGTGCCCGCAACCCAGGCACATGCCCTTGACCGGAATCGAACCTGGGACCCTTCAGTCCGCAGGCCCACGCTCTATCCACTGAGCCAAACCGGTTTTGGCAACGTTTCTTGAATAATTAAAGCCAGACCTGAATCTGAAGCCAGGGTCTCAGTTTCCTAGTGGGAAAGATGGGGATAATAATAGCAAGACTGCTGGGTTACTAGGTTGTCATGAGGCCGGGCTGTTCCTGTGCAGCACAGAGCAAAACTAAGGTCGCGCGCAGGGTACAGAAGAGCCGAGGGCCGCAGCCTAGGAGAGAAATGGAGGTTACGCTCGGTCCAGGCGGCGTCCGTCACCCCGGCCCCCAGCCTCTGGGGAGGGAGAGGGGAGGGTGGGTTGTCACCCTGTCTGCCCGCGCTCTAAGCTGGGTTTCCTTTCGGGGTCTGCCGGGGCCAGAACTGCTGATGGAAACCAGCTGCGGGAGGCGCGCGGAGGCTGGAGGCTGGGCGCACGCCCAGGCCCCTCCCCGGCGCCGGCGGACCTCGCTCGGGGGGTGGGGTGGGGTGGGGGGACTAGGGCGCCCTAGCTCCCCGCCCCCCTTCCGCCGCGGCCCGGGGCCCTGGCACGTCCGGTGCGCCTGATGCTTTCCAGATGTGCGCCTGGCTCCCCTCCCCCACCTGGCTCCTCGCTCCCGCGGAGCAGGGAGGAGAGGAGCCAGGGTCCGACACCCCCGCTCCAATGGCTACACCGGGGATCGGGGCCGGCCGTGGACCCCGCCCCGCCGGCCTTGCTTCCCAGACCAGGTCGTAAAAACCGAACGGGGATGGGCTGACTGCGGCAGAGACTCTCCGTCCCCCACCAACCCCGCCACCTCTTCCCTGAGCTCCCGCCGCCCCGCCGCCCCGCCGCCACCCCGCCACCGTCTGGGGTGGTCGGGGCACGCCCCCAGACCCCGCCCCGAGCCCCGCCCATAACCCCGCCCCCGAGGCCGCCGGACCACGCCCCCGAGACTCACCTCTGCAGGCCCCGCCCCCGCCCCTTGCAAGGCGCGGTCTGAGTGTCTGTCTCTCTGGCCGCCTGTGTCTGTCCGGGTGTCTCTTGTACCCTCGTGTCTCTGTGTGTCTGTCTCTCCGCTGTCCTCTGCCTGTCCCTAGGTCTCTCTCCGAATTTCTCTGTCTCGGCGTCTTTCTGCGTGTCTGTCTCTCCTTGCATCTCTCACCCTCTCTCGGTGTCCCAGTCCCTCTTCATCTTCTCCCTCGAGACCCCTCCACTCTCCTACATCTCTTGTTCTCCAATGTCTGCACCCCAACCGGCCGCGGGGGCGCCTTGCCCTCCGGATTTGAGGACCCAGGGCTTCGGCGCGGGCTCGGCGGGCCGCGGGCGCCCCCACGTGGCCGGCAGGGGACTGTCAGGAGAGGACCGAGGACCGAGTGTGCACGCAGGGGTGCGCTGAACGCCGGAGAGACCCGGTGTCCGTGGGTGACTAGGGGCGATGGCCTGTAACCCCGAGAGACTGTGAGTGTACAACTGCGAGACGGTGCGTGACGCCAGAGGCTGCGTGGGGCTCTGTGACCTGGGGAGATGTTATGGAGAGTATGGCTGAGAAGCAGTGTGTTACACCTAGAGTAGTGGTTCTCAACCTGTGGGTCGCGACCCCTTTGGCGGTTGAACAACGACCCTTTCACAGGGGTCGCCTAAGACCATCCTGCATTTCAGATATTGACATGACGATTCATCACAGTAGCAACATGACAGTGATGAAGTAGCAACGAAAATAATTCTATGGTTGGGTCACAGCATGAGGAACTGTATTGAAAGGGCCAGAAGGTTGAGAACCACTGATCTAGAGATTATATGTGACAGTACATGTGAGAGGAGAGAGAGGACATGCATGGGACGGCGTGTGACGCCATGAGGTTGCCTGTGCCAAGCGGGGGCGCTGTTTGTGGTCCCGAGAGAACGTATGTGAGAGTGAGAGACTGTGTGTGACAGCGTGCGGCCTGGTGAGGGATGAGTGTTGTGTGAGTCACCTTCGCAGACGAGGTGACTCTGAGTGAGTGCGATCCACAGAGGGGGCGTGAGAGGGCAGCGTGAGGGGCCCGGGGGCCTGGGTGTGACGCAGAGACCATGTGAGTGGGAGACAGCATGCGTCAGCCACACGATGGACGGTGAGGGCGGTGTGTGACTGTGACACAGATTATGTGGGAGCCTCACAGACTGGCACGGCATTGTGACCGCGCACGAGAGAGCGTGCGACTGTGCAGGGCACGCAGAGACTAGAGCACCAGAGAGCCCTGGCTGGTGTGGCTCAGCGGGTAGAGCGTTGGCCCGGACATGGAAGGGTCTGGAGTTCATTCCCGGTCCAGGGCACGGACCTGGGTTGCAGGTTCTACCCCCTGCCCAGGTGGGGGCGTGTTTGGGAGGCAACCATTCAATGTGTCTCTCTCACAGCGATGTTTCTCTCTTTCCCCTTCCTTTCACCCTCTCTAAAATCAATGGAAAAAATACCCTCTGGTGAGGATGAACCAAAATAAATTAAATTGAAGCCGAAACCGGTTTGGCTCAGTGGATAGAGCATCGGCCTGCGGACTGAAGGGTCCCAGGTTCGATTCCGGTCAAGGGCATGTACCTGGGTTGCTGGCACATCCCCAGTGGGGGATGTGCAGGAGGCGGCTGATCGGTGTTTCTCTCTCATCGATGTTTCTAACTCTCTATCTCTCTCCCTTCCTCTCTGTAAAAAATCAATAAAATATATTTTAAAAAAAAATTGAAAGACAGAGCCTGAGAGAGACCTTGTGTGCGTAAGTGTGCCACACTGGGAGATTGCTGTGTGCGGGTGACAGCCATGTGTGACAGATACCAACTGTCTGAGGCTCAGCCAGAGATTCTGTACATGACCGTGGGGAGGGGGCGGTGACTGTGTGTCAGGGAACGTGTAAGATTGCGTGTGACATTTAGAGATTGTGCAGGAATGCGTGGCCTGTATGTGGGAGTCGCTGGCTATCCCTGTGTAATCATATACAATATTATGTGACAGTGTTTCACAAGGAGGGTGCATGAGTAATTACATGTCGCTGTGTGGGACACAGAGAAAGTTCGAGGCTGAGACCGGATGGAAGAGAAGCTCTGATCGCCGGTGAATGTGTGTGGCATCTTGAGAGACTGTGTGACCGTGAAACCGTACAATTCACCCCGAGAAGGTATATCTGACTGCGGTTGAGCAAGATGTCATCGGTGATGACGCGTCACTCTCCAAGTGCTTGTGAGGGACTGTGTGTGGCGTGTTGAGAGGCCATGGGACTGGGGCACCGTGGGAGGTGGTGTGTTGAGCACAGATCGTGTGTGAGAATCTGTGGCGATACCGGTGACACAGTGAGGCACAGTGCGTCCCTGAGAGAGGGGCTGTGCGTGTGAGGCTGTGTGCCCAGAGGGGTCGCTGTGATGGGGTGACCCCGAGGCAGGGGGTGGCAGGGTGGGAGAGCATGTGTGATGGAAGGAGAGGCTGTGTGGGGCACGGGGGAGATGCGTGTGACTGTAGAATAAAGGCAGAGGGTATGGACACACCTTGAGAGGCTGTCTTCCCAGGAGTGAGTGTGAGTGAGAGAGACGAGAGAGACGGGCAGAGACAGAGATCGAGAGGGGAGACGGAGAGAGACAGAGCGAGGGAACGAGACAAAGAGGGGGACAGACAGACAGAGATAGAACGCCCGGAGACAGAGCCGAGGCAGTGAGAGAGCAGTGGGGCTGGTGGTGGCAGCCGCAGGAGCAGGCAGGTCCTCAGGGGCTGCCCCAGGGGAGGGGGCGGGGCTGGGCTGGGCTGGGCTGGGCTGGGGGACCTAGCAGCTGCCTGTCAGCCTCACCTCCGCCAGCAGCCCGCCATCCCAGCCCTGGGCAACAACAGGTAGGAGGCTCCGGTCCTGCCCCAACAGGTCGGCCCTCTGTCCCCTCTCTGCCCGTGGGTCTGCCTGGGAATGAATGAGTGAGTGAATGAATGACTTTATATGTCTGCGTCTCCACCAGCCTGTCTCTCCTCAACCCCTCCACCTCCCTCTCTCTGTCCCCCTGTCCTCTGTCCCCTTGTCCCCCGTGCCTCTCCCTGCCCCTCTATCTGTGCCCCTTCCTCTCCCCCTACACGTGTCCCTATCTCTATCCTCTCCCCATCACTCCATCTCCCGTCTCTAACCCCTCTCCCCAACCCGTGTCACTCTATCCCTTTCTCTACTCCTCTATTTGTGCCCCCAACTCCGTCCATCACTTCATCCTCCCCCGTCTCCATCTCTCTCCCCAGCCCCAGTCTCTTTATTCCTCCTGTGCCTCAGTCTCTCCCTCCGTCACTGTCTCTCCCTCTGCCCCTCCATTTGCCCCTGTCTCCATCCTCTCCGCCTCTCTCCCAGTCGTGTCTGGATTGGCCCCCCTCCTCCCCCTCTCTCCAAGTGCTAATGAGCAGAGGAGCCTTTGAGGTAGAGGGCTGGGTGGGGGAGCTCCCGAGGGGAGCGCAGGGGGCAGCTGCGTCCGAGGCCCTAATGAGGCCCCCTCTGCGCCCCTCCCGCCGAGATCTTAATTCCTTGTTCTCCCTGGAACCACTGCTAATTGGCCTGGGGAGGGCCCCCTCCTGGCTCGCTGTGTCCCTGGGGGCCGAGGACACCTGGATCGTGCTCCGGCACCTGTGGCCCTGTCCTTCCGTCCCTCCCTCCACCTGCCTCAGCCTTGCATCTGTGCTCCCTGCTGCCTTCCTCTGTCCCTCCCTCCCCCTGACTCTCGGTCCCCATCTGAGCGGCTCTTCATCTCCACTTTCCCTGTCTTCCCGCCCCTCCGACCGCCTCTGGGCACCCTCGCGCTCTCTTCCACCCACGCCCCGGTTGCTGGGTCCCACCACACCGCCACCCTCTCCGGGGTCCCGGACGCCCCTAGCCTGCCCCCTTCGCCCCCATTCCCACCGGCTTTTGACTCCTTGCCCGCCGCAGCCATGTCCAACAACATGGCCAAGATCGCGGAAGCCCGCAAGGCGGTGGAGCAGCTGAAGCTGGAAGTGAACATCGACCGCATGAAGGTGCGGGGTCTCGGGTAGAGGAATGCGGGGGCTGCGTCTGCCCCGGGCACTGTCGGGGGTGGAGCCAGGAGCCCGGGGTGGGGGCGGGTAAGATCCCTTTCTGAACTGAGCTGGACCCGAGGAGGGCCAAGGGGCGGGGCCTGAGGGAGGGGGCAGGACCCTAGACAAGGGGCGGGGCCTGAGCGGAGGGCGGGGCGGAGAGGGGCGGAGCCTTAAATAAGGGGCTGGGCATGCAAGATGGGCGTATCAGAGGCGGGGCCATGGAGGGGCGGGGTCTTAGGCAAGGGGCGGGACCTGGAGGGCGGGCCCAGAGGGGCGGGGCCTGAAGGACGGGGAGGGTCAGAGGCGGGGCCTGAGAGGGGCGGGGCCTTAGGCAAGGGGTGGGGCGGGACGGAGGCGGGGCCTGGGGGTCGGGGGGCGAGGCCCTAGATAAGGGGCGGGGCCTGAAGGGCGGGGCCCTAGACAAAGGGCGGGGCCTGAAGAACGGGGCGGGGTGGGGCCCGAGTGGGCGGGGCCCGGGCATGGACTTCACCGCGCGCCCGCAGGTGTCGCAGGCGGCGGCCGAGCTGCTGGCCTTCTGCGAGACGCACGCGAAAGACGACCCGCTGGTAACGCCGGTCCCCGCCGCCGAGAACCCGTTCCGCGACAAGCGCCTCTTTTGCGTCCTGCTCTGAGCCTTCCCGACGGCTGGCCCTGCTTTGCCAAAGTTTGAATCCAATAAACGTGGTGATGGTGGTACCTGAGGCCTCGCTGAGCTTGGGCCCCCCGCGGGGAAATCTGATCCCGTCTCACATCCGGAGTGCGGGGTGGGGGTGAGGGTGCGGAGGGCGCCTCGGAGGAAATGAGCCTCCTCTACCCCCGAATTTATTTAATCATCCAACAGTCCCAGAGGCAGCTGGCTGCTAGGATGCCACCTTCTTTACAGATGAGTCCCTTACTCGGTCACACAGCTGGGAGGTAATAGGGTGAAGGCTGTGGGCTCCCAGCTCCCTGCGCCCTCAGCTGGCCCCCTCCCCTCCTCCCTCCTGGGTTGCAGATCCCGAGGAGGCCCTGCGCCCGTCCCACCTTTCTCATCCCTGAATAGTTTCACCCCCTTTCTTCACATTTGGCTACTTCCCGCCACAGGCCTATCTCTGTCCTTAGCACTGAACTCTGTCCATTCATTCATTCATTCGTTCATTCTTCCAAACACTCCCTGAGTACCTGCTCTGTGACTGGCCCTGTGTTGCGTGAAGCTGGGGACATGGCTGTGACCAAGACAGCCTGGCCCTGCCTCCTGGGGCTCAGAACCCAGTGGGTGAGACAGACCTGTCCCCAGTAGTGGCAACCCAAGTGGGCAGGGCTGGGGTGGGGAAGTCAGAGGCTGGAGCCCCTGACTCAGCTTGGGGGTCAGGGAGGGCTTCCTGGAGGAGGACGCTGGGCCATGGCGGTAATAACACGTGGGACCTAGGGAAGAGAGGAGTGTGGCGAGAGAGAGGAGACATCCCTTCCTTCAACAGTCATCATCTTTGTTCTGGGGACACAGGGTGACGGTGACAGCTCTGGTGTCTGCGCTGTTTCCCACGTCCCATATTGGTGGCCTGCAGGACATATATAGCTGGCAGTTATATATTTTTTGGCTTTTCTACTTTTGGCCTACATAATGTTTATTTTTTAAAATTTTTTTTTTTTTTTTTTTTTTTTTTTTTTTTTTTTTTGGTGTATAAACTATTTATTAACAGACGAGGCCTACAGACTTATTTCTTCTTGGACACACCCACAGTGCGACCCCGGCGGCCTGTGGTCTTGGTGTGCTGGCCTCGAACACGAAGACCCCAGAAGTGGCGCAGCCCTCTGTGGGCCCGAATTTTCTTCAGCCGCTCCAGGTCTTCACGAAGCTTGTTGTCCAAACCATTGGCCAGGACCTGGCTGTATTTCCCGTCCTTCACATCCTTCTGTCTGTTCAAGAACCAGTCTGGAATCTTGTACTGGCGTGGGTTCTGCATAATGGTGATCACACGTTCCACCTCGTCCTCTGTGAGCTCTCCTGCCCGCTTGGTGAGGTCGATGTCTGCTTTCCTCAACACCACGTGAGCGTATCTTCGCCCTACACCCTTAATTGCAGTGATGGCAAAGGCTATTTTCCGCCGCCCATCGATATTGGTGTTGAGTACTCGCAAAATGTGCTGGAACTTCTCAGGAATCACTAGAGACATGGCGGCAGCGGCGTGCAGGCCTCCTGTGGAAAAGCTTAAAAAATTTTTTAAAAATTGATTTCAGAGGGGAAGGAAGAATGAGAGAGAGATAGAAACATCCATGATGAGAGAGAATCATGGTGGATCGGCTGGCTAAACTGCAAACCCCCCACTGGGGATCGAGCCCACAACCTGGCCATGTGCCTTTGACCGGAATCAAATCTGGGACCTTTCAGTTCACAGGCCGACATTCTATCCACTGAGCCAAACCGGCTAGGGCCATGTTTATTTTTTATTTATTTATTTTTTAAAAATATTTTATTGATTTTTTACGGAGAGGAAAGGAGACCAACAGAGAGTTAGAAACATCAATGAGAGAGAAACACTGATCAGCTGCCTCCTGCACACTCCCCACTGGGGATGTGCCCGCAACCAATGTACATGCCCTTGACCAGAATCGAACCTGGGACCCTTCAGTCCCCAGGCTGACGCTCTATCCAGTGAGCCAAACCAGTTAGGGCCATAATGTTTATTTTTATTTTATTTTTTAAAAATATCTTTTTATTGATTTCAGAGAGGAAAGGAGAGGGCGCGAGAGAGATGGAAACATCAATGAATGGTGAGAGAGAATCATTGATCGGCTGCCTCCTGCACACCCCGCACTGAGGAATCGAGCCCCCAACGAGGGCATGTGCCGTTGACCAGAATCAAACCTGGGACCAGTCAGTCTGCAGGTCGATGCTCTATCCACTGAGCCAAACAGGCTAGGGCTGGCCTACATAATGTTTTAAATGTTCTTGCCCTGCCCTGACCGGTTTGGCTGAGTGGATAGAGCGTTGGCCTGCGGACTGAAGGGTGCCAGGTTCGATTCCAGTCAAGGGCGAGTACCTTGGTTGCAGGCACATCCCCAGTAGGAGGTGTGCAGCTGATCAATGTTTCTCTCTCATCGACGTTTCTCTCTCTCTCTCTCTCTCCCTTCCTCTCTGTAAAAATCAATAATATATGTTCTTGCCCTGGCCTGCGTGGCTCCATTGGTTGGGCCTTGTCCAGTGCACCAAAGGTTGCAGGTTCTATTCCCAGTTATGGCACATGCCCGGGTTTGGGGCTTGATCCTCAGTAGGAGGCATACAGGAGGCAGCCGTATGCTTGGCTCTCACATCGATGTTCTGTCTCCCTTTTCCTGCTTCTCTCTCAAAAAAAAATCTATAAAATGTTCTTGACTTGATTGCCAAATTGAAAAATAGAGTACTCGCCTCAGACTCCGTATTTCCGGCTTCTTCGGAGCTGGAAGATCTGGTGACCTCAGACCTACCCCCCCCCCCCCACCCCCCAGGGACCACAGGCTGTGAGCTGGGACCGGGGCTTTCCGACTCATGAAGTCCCCACCCTGCCCTTTTGCCTCTCGGTCGAGGAGGTCGAGGTCCAGTTGCTATTTGACATGGAGCCTGTGTCAGGGGCTTCTTACCGTGGGATGAAGAGAAGGCGGAGCCCTAGCCAGTTTGGCTCAGTGGATAGAGCGACGGCCTGTGGACTAAAGGGTCCCAGGTTCGATTCCGGCCAAGGGCACATGCCCAGGCTCGATCCCCAGTAGGGGGCGTGCAGGAGGCAGCCCATCAATGATTCTCTCTCATCATTGATGTTTCTATCTCCCTCTCCCTTCCTCTCTGAAATCAATAAATAAATATATTTTTTAAAAAAGGGAGAAAGCGGAAATGTCTGTTGAAAATGAGGAGATGCAGATGAGCTGTGAGTTTGGTTAATTATTTTACCTGGTTGGCCCAAGACCTCCTCCCCTCTCTTCACCCACCTCCTCTCCGCCACCCCAAATGGGTCTTTGGGCATCTACCTGCTTCTTGCCACTGTCCCAGGGGCTTCTGCTCCTGCTCGGTGTCCCTCCCCTGCCTTTACCTGGGCGGTGCCCCTCACCTGGGATCCCCTCCCTTCTGTCCTGCAGGCTCCCCCACAACCCCTCCAGCCCCTCCTGAACACATCCATCGGCCCCCCTGCACCCTCTGCTCCCCAGAGTGAGGCTGAACCCCTGAATCTGGATGGAGGGAGATGGATAGCTCACTGGGCCTCCCCTCCCCAGAGGGGGGCGGGGCGGGCATGTGCCTAGCAAGTGTTTCATTATTCACATCGGATTAGGGTCCCCTGGGCCCCAACTCTGAGCTTCCTGTTGAATGGAGGCAGGAGAGGCTGTAATTACATCTCCTGCTGCCTCCCACCTCTTAGCTGGTTGCATCATGTCTGTGGGAGCCCCGGGGGACGCAGGGGACCGGAGAGCCAAGGATGAGCTGGGGGTGGGGTGAGGTGGGGCTGGGAGGGATGCTGGGACGGAAGTCCCCAGAAGGATTCTGGAATTTCTCAGGTCCTGCATCCTTGCATCTTAGAACCCGAGATGCATGGGAATCTGTAATCCCAGGACCCTGGAGGGCTGGAATTCCTGTCTCCCCATCCTGTGGCGTCAGGATTCCGGGTCCTGCCCCCTGCCCAGCACTTCAGGAGTGTAAGCATTCTTTGCACCTAGACTGTTGTGATTTAACCTTCTCGGCCCTGGGACCTGGGAGCTTCTTGTTTCAAATTCCGGGTGTTGGGAAAGGGAGGCTGAGGGGGAGCAAGCAGGGCTGGCTGGCCTGGGGTGGGGGAGGGAGGAGAGGTCCGCTGCAGCGGGAAGGGAGGGGTCCGTGAGTCTGGCCCCGGAAGCCGGTCAGGACTGAGGCTGGCGGGAGAAGCCAGAGGGACAGGGTAGCTCCTGGTGACCAGCCTGCATGTGCGCAAATGTGGATAATCTTGTTAGCGGGTATGACGCTGCGACAGCCGCTTCCGGCCGCCGCTGCTCTTTCCTGACACCCCAGCTGGGAGGCCAGCTCCGGGGTCAGGGCCTGGCCAAGGGCAGAGAGGGGATCGCCTGGGGAAGTACCTGCTCTCAGAAGGACCCTCCCACGTGCTCCAGACCCTGAGGGCTGCGGGCTGCCCCTCCCAGGCGGCCTCTCCTCCCGCCCTGCGCCTGCACCCCAGTGCTCAGACCCCTGCACCCCCAGGAGAGCCACCTCAGTGGCCATCGCCTCCTGGGAGTCCTGTTTCAAGGCTCCATCTCACTCAGTTCTCCGAAAGCTCCATGGGACTGTTCATCCTTATTTTGCATCCGGCCAACAACAGGCCCACAGAGGTGACGTCACCTGGCCAGTTGGGGCTTGAGCTGCAGCGGGACCCAGGCATGTGCCCGGGAGGGGCTGGAGGGGTTGTGGGGAGCCTGAAGAACAGGAGGGAATGGGTTCCCAGGTGAGGGGCACGGCCCAGGACACAGAGAGCAGAAGCCCCTGGAACAGAAGCAGACAGATACGTAAGGACCCGTTTGGGGTGGAGAAAAGGGTGGGGGGCTAACGAAGCCCCGGCTGTGGGTGCTGGGACCTGCCGAAGAGGGACGGTCGTGGCGGGTGAGCAGCTTCCCTGGGCAGCGGGGGAAGCCCCGTCAGCAGCACATCAGAGGCCGCCTGGCCCGCTGGCTGGGTGGGGCCAGCTTGGCACTTGCCCTCAAGGCCGCTGGTCCAGATGTGAGTCCCGGCTGGGTGTGGGGGGACGCAGCTGCGGGCCGGCCAGCAGGCCCCCATCAGAGGAGGTCCTCTGAGCCTCTGCGTCCCAGCCCTCGGCACACGGAGGCAGGTTAGCATGTGTTGAGTGAATAGTAACACCAGTGG